TTTCATGAGCAACCATGTGGCTGGAACTAACCACGTTATCCACCTTTATTTGGTGTTTACACGCGGAACTTTGTTCATCGCTTCATTTACACGGTAACCAAGGATACCACCATCACGCACCGCTTTCGCTCTTTCTCTCTATCTCTATCTCCAGTGATCTTTCCATCTTTTTCCTTTTACGCTTTTGTCTCCTTTATTCAGTAGTTTCTATTCCACGCACTCTCCTCTTTATCTCCGAGGGAAATATTAGCCGCGGGCATAGCGACGTTAAAGGGGAACAGTTAAATTAATAATTTTGAAATTACGAAAGAGAGGAAGAGATTGGTCTCGTGGTCTAGGTTCCTTTGTGAATTACAGTTTTCCAGTCGATGTAAAATTACGGCGAGCAAATGGAAATCTGAATCATTGACTTTCGGAAAAATCGATTTGTCTGCAGGTGAATGGATTCACCTGATAATTTCACACTGATATTATCATGCTCATATTACATGATTGAATATTTAGTTAGATGGAATATATTCGATTATAAAATAATACGATTACTTTTACATGCGTTAATTTAATTAAGGAAAATTTAGAGAGAAAAAATAAAATTATCTATTCGACAAAATTAAATTGGTAAATTATTTTATTATATTAAAATATAACATTTTAAATACATTTGTAATGTGTAAAATTTATTTTTATTGTGTAAATATTAAATAGCCTTTATTTAAAAATCAAATTTATTTTTATTAGTTCGTTAATGTATATATAAGTAACAATATAAGTAACATTATTCCAAAATATGTTATTAATTATATCTATATAAATTGTTATGAAGTTTTAGTTGTAATGTTTCAGTTTTATCGATGTAATTTTTTCATTAACATGATTCTGCGTAAAACATATACATTGACGCGATTAATCTCGTCAATAACTGTAATTTTTACGCGTTGATCTAATGAGAAACGAGATATTCGGACACCTCGTAACAGGGTACCGACATCGACTGCATCTCCTCCCTCCTTCCCCCCTCGCGGAATCTTTGCGGCACCTGTAATTATGGGGCCCCATTTTGAAACGAGTCTCGCTGTACAAGAGTGAGGCCCAACGATGATGGAGCTTGTTATTGGCAACGTAAACAACATGATTATCTTCTTCCGCAGTGGAACCTGCCAAAAAAAGATTCTATTAATATTTATGACGATCCAAGCGTACAATTCGCTTCGACACCCTACGGAGAAGTTAGGCTTGCCAAATTATGCGATGGGATGAGTTATAGGCTGAGGTTGCAACGTGCGATCGTTGGTATGCTTTCATTACCATCGGAACATATCCGCTATGCTCGTAAATGAGTGATGAAGATGAATGTGAAGTGCATTTATCAATTTTGTCAACATTGCGTGGCTCGTGCCTGTAAAAATCATTGGACAAACGGATCCATCCCGATACTTAAAGATAGTCTAACAATAATACTATAACACTCAACAACTTATGGCTATTCCTAGAATATAATTATTTTGATCGCTAGTTAGTTGAATTGGCAGTTGAAATGATTTATAAAAAATTATATCATAATTGTAAAAATTTGATAACATTAAGTTATATTATAAAATTTTGTTTATGTGAAAGAGAAATAAAATTCTGGGTATTTGATTTTAATGAAATATAATTTTAATAATTGATGGAAGAAAAGTATCGAAGTAACACACCCTTCTTCTTTCTCTTTCTCTCTTCTTTTTCTCGATACAAGTACGCGAATATATACGGGCATGAAATTTATTCGACGAAATGCAAGCTGCATCATACAATTTCCCGTGGGCTCAACAGCGTTTCTCTTTAATGATATTTAATAATGCTACACGTCATCCGGCATCATCATGAAAAAAATGGTATCTTTGCATCGGGGTCAACGGCGCATCACACATTCATTCGAAACATTTCATCACGAGTCGAGTAACGAGTATTTTTTTATTGCATCGAGAAATCGCGCATACGGTAGATTCGACATGTGACGACGATATTTTATTTCGACGTATCGTACAATATTTTTTATAACTGTCATTGGATTTATGTACGAAAAGCAGGATCCAATAATCTACCAGGATGGATAGCCGAGAACTCACTGTTATTGATACGATGGTACATTTTATTCGTTTATATATTTGTCTGTTATAAATTTTAAAACGACGATGTTTACACAGCCAGTTGTATTTATCTTTAACGCGTGTATATCTCCATACTTTTATATGCGCAAAAAAAGCTCTGAATTTATCTCTGTGTGTAAATATATTGAAAGATGGATTAAACAAAATCTGATTTTCCGAATAATTAGATCGCCGCTGAATTATTGTACACAACGCGCATTCGCGCTGAAATATATGTATTCCCAACAGCCAAGAATGAAGTTTAAATAGCGTAGAAAATCGAGTTTATCATTTTGCGAGGTAATAACGTTCTGAACTAAGCGCTAGACAAATTGAAGAATGAGTATATTAATTACGTCATACTCTATTAGGATTTACCGTAGACGCTGCCGCCACATTTTCGCATTACGAGCGAAGTTCCGCAAAAATAGGGGGACATTAAATTTCCTCCGGCGACGAATTCCGGGTTAACATTCTTGGAACGGTCGCTCTAACGAGCTCCACGATAATAAAAGTGAAAGGCGCACGAGCGCGAGTCAGTCTCGGTCTTGCCGTGCGCGTTTTCCTTGTCGAGAAAGGGGTTGAAGAAATTGGCAGAAAGGAAGGAAGGAAGAGAGGAGAAAATGGAGAGAGAGAGAGAGAGAGAGAGAGAGAGAGAGAGAGAGAGAGAGAGAGAGAGAGAGAGAGAGAGAGTAGAG